GCCTGATCTCTGTTGTCAATCCCAACATGCTACGAACCTGCTGTACAGATCTGAGAATCTGCCGAGTGGCGCGCTCTGAGTCTGCCTGTAGGACACAGCTATCTCTGGAAGCGTTCTCCAGTGTGAACCTGATGATCTCTTCTGTGATTGTTTTGAGGCTCGCTGTGCCTTTGGAAGGTACTGGCACAGCGTGGATGGCCTTCGTGTCAGAAGCGGTGGCAATCAAACAGGTTCCAAATTGGTCTTGCCTCTCTTCCACTTTGTCAGATGTCTTCCTGTCTAGCCTATCTTCATCGCCAGTGTATGTATAGCAAAAATCAATCTGAATGACAGATTTCCCAATGTCCTCCTTGTTCTCAGTGGACTTGTAGGGATCTTCCTTTGCTCGACTGGCAATGCATGCTTGACACCATGGGGCGTATGGCTGGTGAGTGACAAAGTGCAACTCCTGTTCCTCCACAGAAGGTAGCTTTGGTTGTCCTAGACTGATGGGTCTGCGTTGATTCTCCTGGAACAGTTTGCTTGCAACTGACAACTGCATCTGATTCTCCAAGTTCACTTTGAAGGCTAGCATACGGTCAAGAAGGCGTCTCTTGCTTCCAGTGTGCGCTAAGCCTCTCTCCTTGCATGCCATCTGAAGGTCCTTGACACTTGTCTTGTCAGAATATATCACTTCATCCAACTCAATCTCATTCGGCTTGCTCACAATCACATCCTTCTCCACATCGTGAACCATCTCTTGCCCTTCCAGAATCTCCGGCTCTTCTCCTTCATCTTCCGACCAGTCTGTTCTCTGCATGCCTGAAGACTCAATCTCTGGGTACGGCGTGATAGGGACTTCTGAACCCTGCTCCCAGTAGTCCTTGATCTTCGTGGGTGCAAAGAAACTCAAAGTCCTCAAAGGATTTGAAGGAGGGCTGATTCTGCGGAAAGCATTATTTCCCATGCTGTTATAGTCCTCCACATTTTCTACCTGAGTCCATGTGCCATCGTCGTTCTTCACCAAGGTCATGCGTGCTTTGTAAATCTTCTCGATGCTACCCTTGGGATCCAGAAGGTGACAGGCAACAGGATCACTGTAAACTGCTACACCATTGGGAAGTCGATGCCACCCTGGTGCCAACTCCAAACCTTGCACATACTTGCTGAGATAACCTGCAAGTGCCAAGATTCTTGCTGTCGTGGATGTCTCAAAAGGATTTTCAACATGTACTTCTACCATGTAGATCTGGGCTTCAAACTGCAACGAATTGCGGTCAGTGTTCAATGGGATATCTACACTCTTTTCCTCGTGCTTCAGGCTCAGAACTCCATCCATGCCTCCTAAGCACCAACCTCTCTTCAGAAGTCGCCCAGCACACAGAATGGGGTGCTGAACGTTTCCCAAGATGAACTCTTCCACAAGCTCAACAACTTTGCCGTTCTTGTCCACCACCCGGATTCTGGCTTTTGTGATGCCATCATGTTCGATGCTTTTGCCTTGTGCATCCACCATTCTCAACTCCTCAGGTTTCGGCCGCCATGAGCCAACATTCGCATAGCTCTTGGGTAGGACCGAAATGTCCGCTCCACTGTCCAGAGTCACTAGACAGCTCTTGTCATCCTCCACATTCTCAATCTTGACCATGTTCACCATATAGTCCGGTCTCTCATCCTGCAGATCCATAGCTATGATGGCTACCCCTGCAGGTGCTTTTACCACCGGTTCGTGGCAGTCCATGTACTCGGACTCGTCAGGGTCAAAGAACTCCCCAACCTCATGGTCCTCAACCTGAATCATGCCCACTCTCCATGGATATGAGCTTGAAGCATCTCCAGAATCTCGAGGCGTCGTCAGGTCGAAGATCTCCATAGACCTGGCCTCAGGTGGTGTTTCCAATCTCACCATCTTCACACTTGCCGTTGTAGGGATCGTCGAAGTCTGTCCTGTCATACCCGTCGATGAAGAACTCGCTCCACCAGGGTTCACCTGCTCTTCGATCTGGTTGACCCTCTTCCAACAGTCCTTCGCAAAGTGCCCAGGCTTTCCACATGAATGGCATAGTCCGGTCTTGCCACCCTTGGAGCCCTTGTCATAGTTCTTTCCTTTCTTTCCTGGACCCTTTTCCCATTGTGTCTTGCCTTTCTCGTTTCCTTTCCAGAAGCCACGAGCATCCTTATTCTTACCTTTCTCCTTGCCCTTCGCTTTGCCCTTTCCATCTTTGCCTTTGTCCTTGCCGCCCTTCTTGCCTTTGTTGTAGGACTTTCCCACGTAGTCCACTTCCATGGGCGTTGCTTCATCATTCGAGGCCCTTGTAGGCAACATCAAACTGTTGTTGCTATCCCACTTGGTCGTCACAGCCTCCAACTGGATGATGCGCTCCTTCAACTGCTCATAGGTTGTTGTCTCAGTGAGCCATAGGTGAAGGTGCTGTCGAATCTGTGCAGGACAGGCCAAGAGGATGGCTGCTACTTTGGCATCATCAGAGTATTTCTGGTTTGAAATCCGCTCGTACTCGTTGACGATGGATTCAAATTGGGGAAGTTGCTCTGAAATTGTCTTCCCATCTGCGAACTGCACTCTCGACAACTGGCTGAGGAGAGCTAGCGATCTGGCCCTCGTCGCCGGTTGCATTTCTTTGAGAAGAATCTGCCATGCTTCAAATCCATTCTCCTTGTTCACATGCCTGATCAACTTCAAGGGTCTCAGCCTGAGATAGGAGGTCAACAGACTGAACAGCCTCACAGCACGGCCTTTCGTCTCGTCCAGCATGTCATCAAAGGTGTAGTCACCGTCCATGTTCTTCTCCACCACATCCATGTCGTTTGCCATCGTGGGGTCGATGCCCTTGACATAGTTCAGGAAGGCAAACTTCCACTCACTCCATTGCTTCAGCTCAGCTTCGCGATTCTCTGGCTTGAACAAGTCAGGAGACTTCAGATGTCGAGCCCAGCTCTGAGCTGATTGGTTCACTGTCAGCCTTTCCAAGGCTGCTGCCACAAGTCGAAGGCTTTCATCAGCCATTGTTCTCAGGCTTCGAACAGCGGGGTAGTAGACCTTGCTGTCCACCTTCACGTCGTCACCACCAAACTCCAATCCACTGTGGACTAAAAGTTCCCAGTATTGCCAATGCGAAATGAACTCGCACAGCACTTCCGTGTCAGTTTCGTCTCTGAGCTTTTCAACTCGTGACAAAAACTTCCAGCCAGCAGGAACCACCACGATGATCTCCTTCAGATCCTTGGAAAGTCGTCCAGCTGCTCTCTGCTGCAGTACGATCGATGCTCGAACTGCTTTTTCTCCTCTCACCCAAGAGATCTTGCCAAGGTGCTCTGCAGTCTCGATCTTCAGGGTGTGGATCCTTCGAGTCTTCCACTTCCCAGTCTTCGCTACCACCGAGCCGTTCTGGTAGTAGTTGATCTCCTGGATGGCCCCAGCACCAACTCCACCTGCCAAAGTCGCTAGCAGGAGAAGCTCCAGCAGCCAAATGCCTGCTGTTCCGCTCGATCGTGCCCTGGATCTCGTCAAGCGCGTCGTCGAAGACAACGTCGTAGTGCCACGTGCGTAGACGGCAGCGCGGCTCTTACGGCCAGCGCTCCGCTACCATGAAAGCGGGAAGCGCCCTTTCTTCAAATGGGGATTGAGCCTATATCCGGCGATTGCGGATTCTCGGTTTGTGCGTGTCGTGTCTGAGTGGATGTCTATGACGTTCCATGAGATTCTAACAATATATGTATTTATATAGTTGTTTATCTAAATAGATATGTAGTTATCAAATATTTCCCCTCAAAATCTACTCTTTAAAACCTTTATCTTGTATAGATGATTGTTTTTTCTCACTTCTTGGTGTTGAATTCATTACATCAGCAATCATCCGATTGGTGCTTTCCTTGTCTTTGTCTTCTGGTGTGATTTGTCAGTTCCAACTAAACGATATACTATGTGCTTCACTATCCAGTTTGATGTCTCCATTGTCATCTCTACTAACGTTCATAGTCTCATCACTCTTTGATATGTTGAAACTACATGGATTACAACTACACTTTATCCCCTTAGGGTTGATTTCTATTGTGTTTTGTAATTGTAGTTTTCCGTGGCATAAGGGACAGTCAAAGGTGATGAACTTGCTCTTGAGTTTCTGCTCTTCATCAAGTTTTATCATTGTAGCTTATTCATCAGACAGTTCAAAATCTTCAGGTATGGGTGTTTTCTTCATATTTGTTCTTCGACGAGGCATCTATATATTTCATTGTAGAAAAAATTAGGCAATATGATTGTTGCAAAATATTGTCTAATTAGCTCTGGGGGAACACTAAAAGATGCGTGGCAGACTGAAATGAATTCACACGGCTGTAATCGGGGGTTGTCCAAATCTGAAAATGAGAGGCAGAAATCACACTAATTAACGGCTTATGCGGATTGAAGCAAACTGTCCCTATAATGGTTTACTTCAATAAGAATATAAACAATTTATGTTCTAAATATCGTTAATATCAATATCTGTCAATTGTTAATATTAAACCCTATAAGCACAAGGAATACAGCAGTAAGCAGTCAAAGTATGGATATATGGCACCGCTTCCAGCGAGAATTCTATTGAACGCTCCTTCAGGAACGGGTAAGGCAGTAGCACTGACAAATCTGATAATGGACATCTACAAAGACTGTGTTGAAAAGATATACATATTTTCGCCCACCGTCTTTATAGATGACACTTGGACGGTTGCAAAGAAATACATTGAAAACGAGATGGATATAAAACACTCTGATGAAGACCCCATCTACTTTGACAACTTTGAGGAGAAAGACCTTAAGAACATCATAGACACACAGAAGGGAATTATAAAGTATATGAAGGAGAAGGAATACAAAACATCTCTATAACATCTGTATCATCATAAACGATTGGGCGGACAATGAACGGGTGGTCAGAAAGAACAAGGAGCTAATCAAACTCTTCACGAAAGGTCCATGTTTTCCCCCCTGGCGAACGGGGCACCGGACACCGGACACCGCCCACCTGCACGCACAGCTTCCTTCACCTCTGCGAGCCGCATCCGCACACGGGCAGAGACCTCGTCCGGTCCGCGGTCCGCGGCGGTCTGGGACATCGGTCACTTCGGTTCGTGGCACCCAAGCGGAGAGGTCAGAGCGAGTCCACTTCTGGTACAAAGAAAGCAAGGGTCCACTTCTCTACAGCTTGGCAATGCTATCCATGTTGCTACTGTATTTCACTTGTTCGTTGTTTTTTGTCTTTTGTCTTTAGGCGTTTGGACCTTCTCTTTTTCATGTCCTTGTTCTAGATTCTAGAGACATCTTTTGTTTGCATCTCAATCAATCTGAAATGTTGACTTTAGTGAAGCAGGACTCCCAGGACCCTTCTTTTTGTGTCTGGGCAGCTATGTCTGCCCTCGCCTCTGTCTTCTCCTTGTGCAAGGCCTCCACATTGGCAAGGCCCAGTAAGCGCTCTTCACACTGTTCCTGGCATAGCTGCAAAAAGAACCTGAAGGTACTGCGCGTAGCCTCCTCGAACCACTTGCCAATGAACAACACCATGACATGGTATCAATGAACTCCAAACGCTCCCGAGTCAGCCAGCCCCGGCCGGTTTTTCACCGAAAGGATGACATATAAGCAATTCAGTTGGTCTACACACACAAGCGGTCTGCCAGAGCGTGCTGGTCTGCCACGCGTTCCTGGCCCCAACACCCGAGGTACTTATATACCACATTCACATCGCACTGATCCAAAGTCTCAGAAACAAGAGCTAAGCCTCAACTATGCCTCACGCGCGACGGACAAAAAGATAAGACAAGCAAACAACTCTCGCCATGGACAACGATCCGCGTGACTCGTCCAGGGCACCTTCTGCTCTTCGATCTCGAGGCGTTTCTCCTGGCATTTTGCTTATGGTGGAAGAAGAACAGAATGGAAACCAGCTGAGCTATACTGGGCCTCCGCCCTCTTTTTACAGCACACCCCAACTACTGTAAGAGCTCTCTCACTCGCCAAACCACTGGTTTTGACAGGCTCTCTCACTCGCCAACCAAAAAAACTTAACAGTTACACACCCAGCTGTTCCCACCAGTTCCTTTAGCTCTGGGAATATACTCTCCATCCTCTGCTCTCCAACGCTCCTTCAGGCTCTCCGCCTGCTGTTGATGCTCCTCCGCCAGCTGGTCGAAGCGCACACGCTCATCCTGGGCCCCGGCACAGGGGATGAGGAGCCCCCCGACGGACAGGGCCCAGCTGCATGGCCCAGTGGGCCCAGTGGGCCCAGCGGGCCCGATGCCCGGGCATGGCCAGTCGGGGATACAGGAATGGGACGACTACAAAGCAACCTGAGCTTTAGAAGGATGGCACTGATGGCACGAACTCCAACCTGCGTGTCGAACACCCCACCTGCAGCTTCGCAATCTGCTGATGGATCGCAGCCACGGAGTTCTGCGTCTCGACCATCTCTTGAAACAGATCCTGCGACGACGGATCCTACATCGACCCACGACGAGAGTGTAGACCTGGCGTGGATCAGTCGACGTGCGAGGTACGTAGACACGGCGTGGAGAAAGACAGACCGACCGTCCAAGCATGATATGATGACACGGCTAGGACCCACAGGAGTTGGGTGGTTCATGGACGACCCAAATCACCTCTTTTCGAGGCTATCGATAGACACCCCTGAGGGGGTTCTGGTATGTATATTTAGGTTATATATTCAATCGCTTTGGATGTGAATGTCATCAACAATCAAGCTTGCCCAACTTTGGCCTCCATCCTTGTGTAAATCTGTCCCTAGTTTTAAGAAATCTGAGAAGCGGTCAGCTAGAACATGGCTTCATCTGGTGCAACCCTGCCTGTGACATGGGTGAGAGGCTGCCTTTTCTTTATCATTAAACCAACGTGCCAGTCTCAGTCTGTCAGTCTTGGTGGCCCCGGCACGGAAAACAAAACGCAACGTCCCGGATGTCATACCACGCAGTCGAGCATTACATGACATGCGCATACGATGCGGATCTTGCAATAAGCGAAAGGCAAATACGCACTGACAGCCAACCTATTCCCTCCACTGTTGACTGTTGCCTTGTTCTTTGACGTTGTGTCCTTCATCTCTATGTGTCCTTCATTTCATGTATCAGACCTCTCTAGGGACGGCAACATCCTCCAAATGCTGCGTCCTTGGCCTCCTTTTGGCACGTCTGCGACTTCACGAGATAGCTGTTGCTCTCGCCTGATGCGGCAAGTTCGCGGGGCACAGCCGGATCGGTGATACCAAGGAGAAACCCGTGGTGTCACAAGCTCTCTGAAAAGGTCTCAACACATGCTTTCCAGAGATACGTAGGATCAATATGGATCAATTGAGACATGTTTTAGAGAATGCCACGGCACGTCCGAACGTGTGAAGAAAAGGAAAGCACCAGAAGAGGATCTGGTGAGATCCTTTCAACCCCCCGAAATCAACGAACGAAGTGGCATGACATGGCCCGAAGAACAACGAAGTATGACAGGGTCTTACATGGTTGAACCATTTCGGACCGAGTCGGTGCGGACTCGGCGGACTCGGCCTTGAGCCTCCAGGTCCGCGGCCTGAGGTCCGAACCGGGTCGGAACCGGTCAGGTGGTTGTGTCCCTTCTTTGTTCGACACCGCGCGGAGGAAAAACCAATTAAACTCCCGGAAAAAAGGGTCTTTGGAGAAAGGTCTTTTGAGTGGTCTTCAGATCAATCAATCAATCAATCAATCAATCAATTCTGTCTTCCGTTTCTTCACCGTGGGATCCTCCACTTTCACCTTGCAGCACAAGGTAACCAAGCACGCATTCTTTCGACACCCTGTGTGCAGGAAAACATGATCGAGATGCATTCGAGAACAAATCAACCAGAACACCTGCCTTCACTTTGGCTTCAGCTTTGGCACGCTGCACCTGAGCTGCCGTGAACTCCCCGCCGTGACTGGTGGACTCCGACCATCAATCTCCACCCCTCCTGTGGCCCGTGTTCCCCGTCGATGTCCACCTGGGCGTGTATTAAAAGCGGGAGCCTCCGAAGGCTCCGAACGACCCCTGGAAGAAGGAAAACCGGAAAACCTCGACTGAAACAAAAAAACCATTGGGCCAGGGAGGATGGGGGAGGTCCCTTCATTGAACATCCACCCTCCACCACATCTTCGGCTCGTCGAGCCCCACGGCGTCCGGACATCCTCTTCCAGCTCGCTGAGCTTCGTGGCCCGCAAGTCCTGGGGGCCCGGTCTTCGTCGGGGTCGGTCGAGTCGTGCCTGAATGGATTTGAGGTAAGCCCATTGGAATAACCTTTTTTTAGTGGACCACCCATTGGATTCATGTTGCTTGACTTGCTTGACTTGCTTGACTTGGCTGGTGACTTCTCTTGCCGACTTCTCTTGGCTGGCACACGGTTGGTGGGGGAATTCTTGGTAAAGGAAGCGCACCGGTGGGGGCACCTGGGGCCGTTTTGCTTCGCCATGCCTCGTGCGATTCGGTTTCACGCCAAGTCTTGTTCAGACACACTGTTCAGCTTTGCAGGGTAGAACATGCAGGGTAGAGTGCCCACCTATTGAAGGCTTTGCGGTGCTCAAGCGCTGGAAGGAGATCAGAAACCATTGAAACCATTGAAACCATGGAATGGCCAGGGCAAGACTGCTGCGCAATGAGCCTTACGACTGAGCCTACCATGATCTCGTAGCTCCAAAAAACCGGCCGCATGTGGCACCAGTCTTCTTGTTTTCGTCTGCCAACTGGACCAAATCCAAAGTCGATCATCATCCCTGCTTGGACGCTTAGCAGAATTTGTCGCAACTCTGGTGAGGTGCCCCCCAGCCCCTCCTGCCGGACACTGGCAATCTTGGACTCCTTCTCCTCAGCAACAAAGGCAACAGCAGCAGGACGACACCTTCTCTTCTGATTTACGATCTTCCTGCGGATGTTTTCCTCCAGCATCCAGTAGAGGTCAAGGATGGTCAAGCCGTGATGATGAGCAGTTCTGGGGAAACAGCTTCAAAGCCAAACACCTTATATACCTCGTGTAAACGGAACAAAAAATAAGTGACAAAGACCATCAGGGACACAACTCTCCAACAGCAAAAAAATGGAATCCCTCGTGAATGAAAACTGCATATCCCTCTCGACTTGCGTTGGGTTGAAGGGTGCACACCACGCGGTCGGCCACGCTGGGCTGTGTGGCAAACCTGCACTTCAGGTCCTTCAGGTGTTCCAGAAGAACAATTCAACATGATGATGCCATTCCAAAAGTATGACTCAAAGAGTCAAATGACTCATTGATCTTCTTACTTGTTAATGGCATCATCACCCCTCAAACCGAAAAAGCCGAACACGCCGAACTCCCGCTGAACTCGCCAAGGAACATCCAGTTGCTGTCGGGCCTCATAGGCCTGCCGCTTCGCCCGCAGCAACGCCTGGGTCAACGCGGCACGTGTGCGAAGATGCCAGTTGACCAGCCTTTTGCTTCCACCCAGCGTCCAACTCATCATAGGGGGCCAACAGTTGGCCCAAGTCAAGGGGCCGGTGCCTTTCAGCTGCTTTTGGCTCTGTGGAGGCCCCGTAAGGGTGCAGCAATCCAGCCGAACCCGACCCGCTTCCACGCCTGAAGGTCCTCCCGCAGCTGATCCAACACCACACCGGAGACGCCACTGCCCCCCTGCGTCGATGTCCGACCGACACCTTCTCCCAGAGACTGAGGCGTCTGACGCCCGAAATGGCTGGTTCCAGAGCTGCAAAGAGCTGCACCAAAATAGAACAATGATGTGAGACCCAAGTGGTGTTGGCAAGCTTCATCCGTGGAACACCTATGTTTTTGTCCACTCTCCAAGCCAGCCAGCTTGCCAGCTCGGGGCCTTCGCATTGGACAGCAGCTCCTTCATAGGAAGAAATTCCGGCAATCAGAATCCATCCAACTTCAATCTCCAAATGCATCCCACGGACATAGGAGAAGCCATGCCAAACCATGCCATGGTCACCAAGGCACCTTGCTACTTACAACGACATAGGAGAAAAAAACTACAACGGTTCAGAGTGAGCTCTTTTTTTCAGGCCTTGCAGAATGGCAGAAGAAAGACTGAAAGACTACAAGGCACATCATCCCCCCGTCCACCCCGGTCACACCCCTGTCACACCTGAACGCCCACCCGGTGTTCAGGCCTCCACAGGCGCCTCCAGGCGCCCTTCCACACCGTCCACACCCTGCGCCGGGTCCTGCAGGAGTTTGTCCTTCTTGGCGCTGTCACGCTCGGCACAGCGGATCTTCTCCCTCACGTTGCACGCCTCTGCTTGGACCTCCATCAGCCTCGCAAGCGCTCTTTGGAAGCGGGCTCGAGCGTGCTCCGGTCTCGCACGCGCGAGCGGTAGCGCACGCGGATGACCGGAGGCTCCCGGCTGATTCCGCAGCCGCAGCAAGTCTTCCAGCAAGGACTCCTCGCCGAAGAGACCCATCAACCCATCGAGAGGTTTTTTTGCACGAGCCATTCCATCCCTTCGGCTACCTGTTGGTGCAGCACCGCGCTAGGAACCAGGTGTTGACTCAAATGGATGTCAGAGGCTTGGCTCTGAAAGAAGAGTCTCCAGCATCCAAAAAAATGAGTTGGCCTGCGGGGAGCCTCACAAATCCCCCGCAGACCCCACTCGACCGTATTCGGATCCTTGTACCGGTGAGCTCTGTATAATAGAGCAGGTGTTTCCAGGACCTACATAAAAGATCGACATCCATCCACATCTGGAAGAAAGCGCATGGGCTTAGCCTCCAGCACAGCCTTCTAGCACGGCCTCTTTAGACATGTCTTCTGTGTGCTCGATTTCAGGCATCCAAGTTGTCCAAGATCCTCCCACGGTCCCATCAAGCTTTCATGTGCTAGTCTTAAACTTTACAGTGGATTCCATCTGAAAAAGAAGCTTTGGGCTTGGAAGCTCGAGGAATCCCCCAGTCAATTCTTCCCAGGAGCAACTTTTTTGTTGAACTCGGTGTGGTCCAGTGCTGTCCAGTCTCTTCTCATCCCTCCATCAGCCCGGCCTCATCAGCCCGGGGCGCACGGTCCTCATGGGCCTCGGCCGTTGGCACATGGAGAATTCACCACCTGTTCTGCAGAGAAGAATGGTAGCAAGGAAAGTGCACTGTTTTCTGTCGTCTGAGCATGCAAGCGCCATTGCAGCGCATTTTTAGGCACTGGAGCAGAAGTCCTTCGTTATGAAAGCTATGAAATCGTGGTAGAAAGGACTTCACCCCGGCACACGCAAGGTGATGTGCCAAAGCCTGGAATGCGTGGATGGATTTTTGGACATGCCCTTCAACAAAAGACCTGCTGAGGAAGCTGTTGGTTCACCCCTCCTGACCCTTTACCATCTTTACAATGAGGCCCCCATCTTTTTAAGGACAGGAAGAAAGAAAGAAAGAAAGGACAAAAGAATAACCAAACAAATCAAAACGAAAAGTCAGCTAAAGAAAAGGAAGAGAGTCGAAAGAGTGTCCTTTCCAAGAACCCCGCCCCGTCCACTGCGTAAGCCGCAGCGGAGAACACGCCGCAGCGTCTCACCCAAGAGCCCGGCCAAGCCCACGGCCGGACGCCGGCGTTCACCGACCATGCCGGAGGGGGAACAGCTTGCAGAGCCTCCCCGTTCAACCGGCCCAACGCACATGACGAACCTAAAAAACATGTGTATCTGTGTATTATTTTTGTATATTATCTAATCTACACAAAGCTCATCTGCCACACCATCCATCAAGCGAAAGGACCAATGAAGCAGGGACCAACCTAGTGATGTTCAAAAACAAAAAATAAGAGTGATGGCCAGGTGGTTCACTTGTCACACCTTGTTTTTCTGCAGCCAGCCTGCACAATCTTTAGAAAATATGTTGACACACTTTGGGGTCTTCATCGCTGCTCTTCGCAGTCGCCAAATGTCCATGATCAACGGGCCCAACTAGACAATCTAGGATTATGTCGGGCGCGGCAGCCATAGATACAAGGAGCCAAAATCATTTTATGAAGCAAAAAAACAAAATCAAAACAAAAGTAAAGCAAACAAAAAAGCAAAAAAATGTAGCTGTGCGTGTTTGTCGCTCTTTTTATGTGTGTTTTGCTTATATAATTTTCGCATTTATTTTCGCTTTTGCTTTGCTTTTTTTTTCCTAGGAGCGTACAGCAAATATTGCTGACGGGTAAAAGTTCTCATAAGTGCAGAAGTGGTACCAGGAAAAGGCAAAAAAAGCAAAACAACTGCAAAAACAAAGCAAACTGCGCTTCTTTTTCATTTTTATTTGCTTTTGTTTTACTTTCTTTTCACAAAAACAATATTTGATGGTTGGTCATGTATGGCTGCCATTGCCCAACATAAATCTAGGAGTGTCTTTCCTGTGGATGAACCTTGCTTCGGGATTTGGCGGCTTGTGCAAGCAAATGAACTCCTGGCTGTGCAGAAAACACGCGCTGTGTTTTCAAGCGCAAAGGAACCCAACGCAACCTAGAATTCAGAGGTTGCCGAAACGCTTGGCCAAGTTGACAACAGCTTCTTCGCCGGCGTCGACGTTGACCAGATGAGAGATGCAAAGGCATCACTTCTGCCGGACAAGTCTGGCAGATTCGGATTTTGGAAGCCAAGGAGCGAAGTGGTTCTTTCACCCCATTGACTAGCTACCTTCATCTAGAGATTTCGATGAGAACTCTTCAGACTTAGTCTACTTAGTCTACCATGAATGTCATGAAGATCAGCCTCCGAAGCTTCAGCACACCCAAACACCCCTAACCTGGCACAGGTGGCACATGCTCTAGGCCGCCTTGCTGGCCAGGCTACACACGCTGCCGCAGTAGCTGAGCTGCAGCTCTGCAAACTACAAATACTGTCACTATCATACACTCACTAAACTCGGGCTGGCATCAAGTTCCGGTTCAAGCGATTCCACATCCTGGCAGAAGATGATTCATGGTCCAAAGCTTCACAATATCGATAGAGAGTCCAGCGTCGAAAGAAAACACTTCCAGCGCTGACTGACTGATCTGAATAGGAAAAAAAACTAACTGAAATCCATTGGAGAGAATGGACACATGTAAAAGTTGGACACAGTTAATTTGGTCTGAAGGTCCACAAAACAAGGTCTGAATGACTTTGGACTCTGATCACTGAGACTCTTCCAGCTGCAAATCAACTCCCAAGAGCGAAGATCAACTCCCCAAGCTCGGCCTGGGCCTCCACTTGCATGGGGTGCGTCGGGTGCTTCGGGTGCTTCTGTCGGCACAACGGACCTGAGTCACGAAATCCCAGAAGAAAACTGAGAACAGTGTGTTGACCCATCAACCCCTACTTACAAAACAGACTCACTGCGGCGCTGCGGCACAAAAGAATTGGGAGTGAAACGGACTGGCTGAACGGATGCGCCCCAATCCATGATCAGATGTGGATCCTCGTGTCTTACCCGTCTCGGTACCTGGGACACCTATCTTGAGGTCTCAGAGGACCTCAGACGAGATGCATTCAATCTGCTGATCTTTCATGCCGAAGCCTTTGCAACACCAGTCAAACAAGCAGCGCCGGTGATAGCAATGCCCGCACTGGAGCTGCTTTGCGCCGGGTCGGATTTCGCTCAAACAAATGGCACAGGTGCCCTCCTCGCTGCTGCAAGGACAGTTCTACATGACATGCGTAGTTGTGGAGGCATCTTCCATTTTTGTCTTGTGACTTATTGCCTTGTGGATCCTTGTGGTCGTAGTTTCTTTATTGCAAACGCACATGCAAGATTTGAACAACTCTTCTCCAGTCTCCACATGAAAGGTTACTTTGATCCGCATGAGGCCTCTTAGAAGACCTTTGGCATCATGGGTGACATGACAAAAGGTGGGTCCACTTCCTTGAAACCATGATCATGCGAGGTTCTACCAGGGTCCCCCATCCCCTCCTGCATCCAGCGGAGCTCAGGACAGCCATCAATGGCCGAAGTGGCGGCCATACGTTTCTTCTTTTGCCGGTCGCCGGTGACCACTGGCCTCTCCCTCCCAGTACGACTCGTGGTTGGAGCGCCTCCTGAACGAAGCTGGCATGGCTTGGGGATCTGCTTCGCGAGTCCTTGACTCGCTAGGTAAAAACCAACAACTTCCGACCACACCCCACAAAAATGCCCCCACTCCTAACTCCTCCCAAAACGTTCCCTTCTCCTAACATCTCCTAACGTCCTTTCTTTGACCCCGAGGCCCGTCCTCCATCTCTCCGGAGGTTTCGGCAAAAGAGGCACGCCATGGCGATCCACAAGCTGGCACTCGAAGTGACCACCAGGCCGAAGGCAATCAGCAACTCGGGCGTCATGGCGATCGGATGGTGGGCCGCGGGTGGCCGTTCGGGTCGCCACGGGGGCAAGAGCGTGGTCTCCGGTGTGGGGGGAAGGTCCAGCGGTTTTTTCTGCTGTTTGGCAGTCTTCCAAGTTGTTGGTTCCATACTCCCCATTGGCATTCGCATTTGTCCTGAGGAAACCTGGTGCTGCAATCCAAGAAAAAGGTGTCATCTGCATTGTCCATTGTGCCCAGCTTCAGCCAGCATCTGAAATTGCTGCCTTTGAGAGTGGACATGTCCAAGTCGCCCTAAGTCTTCAATGCTCAGACCAAGGTTGCTCCAAGGGGCAGTTCCAATGTCATTATTTTCACTTGCACCTTTCGGAGCCACCCTTCCACCCGCACCTCCAACAAAAACCGCACAGCAACGGAGGGCGCAGTCTGCTGAGCAGTCAAACTGCTGAGCCAGGGGCGATTGACCGGAGCGTTAAAAGAAGGTCTTTTGTGCTCTGCTAAAAGACTTCTAGTATCGGCATCGGAAACCCTTTGGATCTATTTCCGACTCTGAGGTTTTGGAGCTTTGGAGTGCGTTTTCCTGGACCATTGAGACTTGCAACAAACGCAACTTGCTGACCGCTGCCCAACTCCAACCACGAAGTGTTTGATTCATGTACACGTCAGCAGTACCAATATTGAGACTTGCACATGGCCTTACCACATTATTTTCTATGTCAACAAATTTGACAAAGTGTTTTTGCAAACCAGGTTGGGACAGGAATTCTATTCACAATTCTTTGGACTTGAGCCTGAGCAGCGATCGAAACTTGACAACCGCAACAAAATAGGGTTTGAAGAGTTGAAATCCTTTGCAGTCACCCAACAACTAATGAAACGTTAATGTAACAATTGAATATCTGCACCCGGAGAACTCGAACCCATCACAAAAGACTACAAAGGCCAACGAAACGGATCAATCAGCATTGGGCAACTCAGACTGTGTTTAGGTCGAGCGGTGCTGGCTTTGATCCGCTTCACGCATGCCAACACGCATCTTTGAATGGCACTAGTTTGGTTTGTTGTTTTGCAAACGGTCCCAAAAGAATCGCTATGGAAAAATTGTGGCTTTCGAAGAATCCATGTCGTATTCACAGCACTTAACCGCAGAGCCATCAGGGAGAGCATAAAATCCGCAAAATAAGCTTTTGGTGGCTTTGTAGAGGTTCAAGTTTTTGCCTCCGGGTCAGCAACCGAACGTGTAGTCGTGCTAAATTTTACAGTATTTCAAAAAACATGGCGGTGAGAGAGGGGCTATAGATGGCGTTTTAGCCAAGTGGGTTCCAAATGTGCGCGGGTAAAAGTAGATGAAACCGGTGACTAAAAAGGCAGGGCTCTCAGAGCCATCTACTGAATTTTTTCCCGGTTCCCAAAAACAGCTGCGCCAGGTATGTTTTTCTCGTCTTGCTCCCTTCTTCCCAATTCTGTTTCTTTTAAGGGACCGAAAAGCAAAACAGATCAGACTCAGAGAAAAAGAAGGAGAACCAAACGAGGAACTTAATGGGCAGTAGATGGCGCACATTGACAGCAGGAAGGAGGGCAGAGGAAAAGAGGAGGAGGAGGAGGAAAAGGAGCCACAAGGGGACTCACGCCAATCAGAGTGGGAAGGCGCAAAGCGTGAGGACAGGAAGGAAGGGAAAAGAGAGAAGGAGGAGGAGGAGGAGGAGGAGGCGGAGGCGGAGGCGGAGGCG